AAAGAAGGTCAGGGAAAAATCTGTAGATGGAAAAATCTCCATACAAGTTCTTTGTGCATTTTTCTTTGTTTCTACTTGTTACTTTGCACTTTTTGTTAGGAAATGTTTATTTACTATTTATTCAGGTTTTTTAAGGTGTCTAATATTTTGATACTTAATTTCCATGATCTAAATATTCTTAAAAATGAAAAGTTTGTTATTAAGCATTATTATGCTGTTACATTATGATGATATATACAGTGGCATAAAATGGTCTTAAAATGACAATAATATCGCTTATCGCAATTATTTCTGGGGCAATATATCGCACAACAAAAAGTTGTTATCGTGACAGGGTCCGGGAAAAATCTGTAGATGGAAAAATCTCCATACAAGTTCTTTGTGCATTTTTCTTTGTTTCTACTTGTTACTTTGCACTTTTTGTTAGGAAATGTTTATTTACTATTTATTCAGGTTTTTTAAGGTGTCTAATATTTTGATACTTAATTTCCATGATCTAAATATTCTTAAAAATGAAAAGTTTGTTATTAAGCATTATTATGCTGTTACATTATGATGATATATACAATGGCATAAAATGGTCTTAAAATGACAATAATATCGCTTATCGCAATTATTTCCAAAACAAAAACAAAAAGTTGTTATCGTGACAGGCCTATTTGTCTGCGCTCTAGAGGCAACCACTGCATTTTAATCATGATCCAAACCTCCCTAGTGTTTATATTAGAGAACAGTCGCCTGTCCCTGAACGTGCGGTGTGTGTCTGTCTCAGGTGCGTCTGGAGTCCCGTCCCCCGGAGCGCAGCGGTGGCGCTCTGCTCTTCCTCACAGTCGGAGTCCTGCTGCGCAAACTACAGTCCAACCCCGGTCTGCAGGGCATCAGCCATGTGATCGTGGACGAGGTGCACGAGAGAGACGTGAACACGGACCTGCTGCTGGCGCTGCTGCTCTCCAGCATCAAGAACAATCCTGACCTGCGAGTGCTGCTCATGAGCGCCACCGGAGACACGCAGCGGCTCTCGCAGTATTTCGGTGGATGCCCGGTGGTGCATGTGCCGGGATTCATGCATCCGGTGCAGGCCCGGTTCCTGGAGGAGGTGCTGACAGAGATGGGTCGACCGACACCGCCGAGGAGAGACCGAGAGGTGAGTTCAGGTGAAGCTTCACGCTGTGAGGATGTTTGATTATGTGCGGAATCACAATCAGTTTTCCTTCTGTTCTCCGTCTCAAGGAAGAAAAGGAAGTCGCTCCTGATCTGGATCTAGTGGCTGATGTGATAGACCACATTCACAGCAATAGAGAGCCAGGTAAAGATGCTTTTAGGGCTGATGTGATTAATCTGTAAATTCAGTGTAAAATGTAGCATTGCATCAGTTGCTCACTAATGGATCCTCTGCAGTCAGGTGTGACTGGGGGTGTTAAAAATAAAGATAATTTAATCATAATATTATTACTATTGTTTTGCATTAATAATAAGTGCAGGCACTGATAATATTACATGTTTATTTCTTGGTAATGCGCATTTGACAGGAGTTGAGATGCATACAAAATTTACTTATTTTAGCAACGGTAATGTGCGAAATCTAATTTTATATGGAAATTTTGTATATTTCACTCTTATTAAAAGCACCAATATTCTTCTGTAGTGTTATACTGAACTGACTGACGTCTGATTGTTGTGTTTTTTTCAACGCACTTTGACTTTCATAAACAAAAAAGGCCAAAACTTTGACAAAATTTGATTTCTTGTT